CCGTAAGACCTTCGTTCATCTTCGGAACACAAATTAAGATATTTTTGATGGAATCTGAGAGCTGTCTGACCCTCCATAGACAGCAACGCAACTGCAATGTTCCCAAGTCCAGAAACATAGCAAGGAGATCTGTAAAATAATCCGTGACATCTAGGCCTGTTGCGATAATTAAATAACCGTCTAACCGCGATTATTTGATTTTTGCGCTACAACATGGGATTATTCAATGCATGCTGATGAACTTTTATCATAGTTTATAGTTATAATGGAAACGAAAGTGGTTAACATTCAACCCGTTCTTTATCAGTAGTATTATTTGTGATTTGAATTTTGTGAACGGGAGTTTCTCTTTTACAACAGACAATTAATCGCAATAACAGTGACTATTTTTAGACAATTAATCGTCAGCCAAATTTCATAATCGTGACAGCCCTAGTGACATCGGGTTCAACCGTAATTTTACGAAGCTACGAGAATAATTTGTGCGCAAAAGAAAAAAAATAACAACTTTATTCAACACTTCGTCTCCTCTGCATCACCCTGTGGCGCCATTTTGGAGAATATCAGCTGGGCGTAAACAACGTATGCTGTTCTGTCAGCTGCGTCACGCCGGATCTGTTTCCTACGTTGTTGTGATTTGATCTGAACGGAAACAGTGTATCTGTGTGACAGCACAGGTGACAAATTAACACCGTTTCACCGTAAAGTCAGCAAACCAGTTAGGTCGCATTTTAAATGGGCTGGACCATAGGGCTGGGTAAAAAATATAAATTTCTTTATTTTAATCGATTCTCATTTTTATGAAATGATATCGATTCTTAAATCCCAAAATTCGATTAGTCTAGCCTGTTTTCAGTTAATGAACAGAACATTGTAAGCACACCTCTTATCCAATAAATCACAGTAAGCTTTGTGCTTGCAGGGTTGCAAACTTGTCACCTTTTGGCAAAATTCGGGTTTTGAATTCAAAATGGGTCATTTGTGTGATTCGTATAGATCCAGTGAGTTTTTAGAATTGTTTGGGGGAGGGTCTTTTTACAGTACCAGTAATACCAACTCAATCTTGTACTCGCTCTAATGGTACTTTTTTCAGTACCACCTCGGCTGAGGTTCCAAGCGAGCCGTACCGTTACCAAAATGTGACGTGTAAACCCTGCTGATCACTGATTGGCCGGAGAGAATCGCCACTACCTGCGTCACTGAACTTGCGACACGAGACACTAGACCCGCTAAATTAAATCAGCACAGCCACAACTTTTTTTTGAACAAGCGCACCTTTTTTAAACAACAAAATGGCTGTTTCGTGGTCTGTTGAGGAAGTACAGACGTTCCTCTCGTTGATAGCAGAGGAGCGGATCCAGCGAGAGCTTGATGGGACGATGCGGAATGAAAAAGTTTTTCAGGAGGTTGTGGCAGTAGACGAATTGTCTATAATCCCGCCCACTCTAGAGCGGTACTAAACTGCAGTGGAAACGTAAACTGAGCCGTGCCAAGCCGTGCTTTCAAAAACGCTTGTGTGTTTTTATGTGCGTGCTCTGGTTTCAAATTACTGAACGTCTCCGGTTACTGTCGTAACCTCAGTTCCCTGAGAGCGGGAGCGAGGCATTGCGAGAATCACATGTGGGAACTCCTCCCCTTCTCCAAAATCCTGAAGTCTTATAGGATAACGCCAGTTTAACAAACTGGCCAATTGATGCTCAACTATGCAAATCGCATGCAAATACTGACAGGCTTGGCAGGCAGTATAAATGCGGCGAGAACGGCAATTGCATCAGAATCTGAGACTGGATGCTGCATTACTGATCGAGCAACAAGCACGGCGATTTTCACAATGTCTCGTTCCCGCTCTCAGGGAACTGAGGTTATGACAGTAACCGGAGACGTTCCCTATCGAGCGTTCGCTTTACATTGCAAGAATCGCATGTGGGAACGATGTGCAATCCCACCGTGAGAGCAGCAAAGATCAGGGGCCCGTTCTTTGTACGTCGCTTACTCGGTTAGCTGGCTTTGATTGTTGATGATTTGGCATGATCTTGGATTATTTGGTTCTTTGAAGCTCATCCTGGACTTGCTGTCATAGCAACAGGTCCGTAAACTTAAATCTTCTCAGAAGCAGCTTATTACAAGAGTACCCTACTAATCCGGGGACATTAATAATTTAAAATGATAATTAAAAAAATAAATTTATAATATTATAGTGTTGTGTAATCTATAATACTATAGACACAGCCAGTTTTACTAACTGAAAGATTTATTCGTGATAAAATAATTACTTTATAATTGTATTAGAGTCTTACACACATACAGTTAATCTGAGTCATGCATAAATTTGAGTGCTGACAGCTATTATGGGAGTGGATTGATGGAGCGCAGGAGATGCAGATAACTTTTTATTAATGCTGTCACATAACTAATTCAAAGATAAAATTACATGAATTGCTAACTACAACATTGAAATAAAAACGTAATACCTGTACAAATACTAGAAATCGTGAATATAAATAATTGGTAGTCATGTAAAAAAAAAAAAAAATTATTTATCTATTACATCTATTATAGCATTTATGTAGTTTTGTTCACTTGGCTGTTTCCTTTATAAAGGTCCAGAAATTTGTCAAGTTTTTCGTCAGGTGTCTTTAATTATATGATGTCATTACGTTGCTGTCTTGCCGCCTGCCAATCGCTGCATTGCAGATCGTGGTTTCGAGTATCGATACATCTGCCCTTTACGGGGTCCACAAGAACGTGCAGTAATCTTAGACAACTTAATCCAGATATGTTAATCAGATCTGCAAATTCATTTGAAGAATCAAATTAGCCAGAGATCAGTTATCACGATTAAAAGATCAGGTATCTTTTAAATCATCTCAGATGTATTAAGCGAGGTACGAAGAATGGGCCCCAGGCCAGCAAGCTAAGGCTACACCAAACATGGGGTAGAACAACAGACATTACCAACCAATAGCAACGCTCACTAGGAAAGCTCATAGCTGATAGGCACGGCTAGACAAATGAGCAACTTTTGCTCAGTTATACTGAAATTGCATATCTAGCCACTGAATACAGGGCAGACACAGCAACGTAATAAGCACATGGAAATGCACATAGACTGAAACCGTGTCAACAGCTATATGCGGTGACAACTTGTACAAAGCACATAAAAATGCACATAAGCCTGCACAGTGTCAACAGCAACACGGTAACAACCGTGTTAAATTGTCTCTGGAGCTCATCTAGTTGTCCTGGTCTCCGCTGACATTCAGGACTGTCGAGGTCATCTCTAGGTGCTGGTCCACAATCTGGGCTGGATACGTACTGGATCCGGGTGACTGCAGTAGCCATCTGATCTGGATACAGACTGGATCTAGTGGCTACGGTGACCTCGGAATAAGAAAGAAATGGACTAATATTAGCATAGATGCCATTCTTCTAACGATGTAGTAAGTACATCGGGTGTTATGGGAAGTGTTCCCGGTTCCGGTTTTCCTAATTAATGCAGCCTAAAAATCCTTTAACGGATTTGAATATTAGAAATGTGTTAAT